TATCAATGATTTTCGAACACTTAATGATAGATTAAGCCAGTCACAGTGGTAATATGCGTCATGGACATGTTCACTCTGAGAATAAAAAATGTACACATTTCCATTAGCATGCAGTTTTTCTTCTTATATTCTGGTCTTTCCTGACACCCATTTTTTTGTTAATTGGCCCTATCCGACCCTATGCATGTGGCTTTGCTCTCTTCTATAGAACATAGGATTGACATGGGAAACCACAGGAAAAACCATATCGGTACAGGCAGTTGCTCTATTAGCAACCTCCCGCTCATTGGCGCCTGCTGAAAAAGGCGATTCAACGGGGAACCCACGCTACAACCTTTAGAACACTAGACTCGCACTGCCACTGAACTATCGATGTCGCTCATTAACATGGAGTTGGTACAGAAATTTACCTGGGTAATTAAGTATTCTCCAACGAAACAGTATCCATATAGTGGAAGTAACATTCCCACCATATACACAATGAACACTATAAAATATATGCCGTTAGATAAATCGGAATACTGTAAATAAAAGGACGTAGTATAAAAATTCGTATCGTTAAGATAATTAAGATGTCTTAAAATGGATATTCACCATCACCAGATTGTAGTTCCCCAATGCCGTACAGACTGTCATTATAACTAATTCTTCCAAAAGTATAATCCGGAAACTCTCATTGATCAATTTGACATATCTAGCATAAGCGCATAACATTCAACAGAATATAATATTATGTTTCATTATGGAAAATGTAGGGATAATTGATTGATTACCTAACTATCTGGATATAACGTCGAATGGAATCAGCAAGTTGAACTTGAACATTTGCTACACCATTAATTCGGCCGATTCGCCTTATCCTCGTCGCTAATATGGCGAGATGGCCGCAGGCATTGAGTACTAGGGTAATCACCAAGCAAACACCTGGGATATGAAATATGCCCAGGTAAATTAATGGCAGCTGATAGATCCACATGAAGGTGTAGGTTGTCAGGTCCGTCAATTCGATAGGCAGATGGGGTCGAAACGGCAGTAACATAGGCACTGTCTGATTAGTCAAGGCTGAATGGTTAAATAAATAATAATTATCATTGCTATTATTTCGATCTTCACAAAATTTTATATTGGTACGGCGGCCAAATTGGTTAAATCGCTCGGCTAGACAAGGAGACCCGTGAGTCGCAGGTTTTAATCTGACTCAGGGTATTGGACCTTTCATGTTTCAAGAATCACCGAGAATAGTATTTTTCGCGTATAGGACGGAAAAAGTGAATCTGACGAATGCGACTTTACAGTTCGAGCCGAAGGTGAAGATTATAAAATGCATGAGATAAAATCTCGTTTTTCTCCGTGGCTCTGATACTATTTTATCATTGCGACAGAAAATACGTTTGTTACCGAGCGAAGCGAGGCACAATAGGCCAGTAAAAAAGAAACGCCTCAGATCACATGTGTGTCAGCCTCGGTTTCGTCTTGGCTAACAATTCCATTCTTTTTTTTTCAATTTTTTTTCTACTGTCCGAGGTGTGCATACGACTTACCTGCTCCACGAACCAGAGAGCCACCATTTTTCGACCGATCTGCGGTCGAGAAGATGAGCTTTCTGGCTGGAGGGCAGAAAATATTACATCCTGATCAAGCTTGGTCGATGGATACCGTGCATAGTTTTCCTCAGTTGCCAGAACATTCTGTACGTGGCGTACAGCTCCTGGAGTAAATGCGACACGGTTGGACAGAAAGTCGGCGTTACCGCAAATACAAAGTAAAAATCCGAATGGAGTATACATGAAATAAATAATAATAATACATTACCAGCGTATATTTGAGCTTGCATAGGCATCCACTGGTACACGCTGGTAGCAAAGACAACTAAAATACACGGCACCTTGAAAAACTTTTTAGCAAGAGTCACATGAAATAAATAAATTTTCTCCTCCACAGATTGTGAAAATGCATCCTCCATGAGTTCATTTGTTGCCATCATGATAGTTTCTCGAATAGTACCAGAATACTTTATCAGCACCATTTTCAGTAATATCATACACTGTACAGGTACCTCTGTAAGGTTTGCCATAACTTGCTCGAGATTTCCGAAAACCAGCACTAAGTCCGCAAAGCCCATCATGATATGCAATATGAAATAAATCAGCCAAATGTAGAAAAGCCAATTTATTGGCGCCAAAGGCCATAACCCCATTATGTGGAAAACCATTCGATTCCATGCGAATATTGTTTTCATTTCTCTGTGTACATCTTTCTGAAGGGCAGGAGGCGTAGAACATATTAGAAAAGTATCATTTTATTTTCATTGTTTCAAGTGGAATACTTGGATAAATTCATTTTATATACCATTATTGCCGGTTCAACTTGCCACCATTCGTTCACGGCACCAATAATTGTTAGCAACTCATTCAAACTCACCCTGCCAATGCCACTGAAAATATATCAGAAGTAATTCTGTTGTGCCATAATAATTCTTACTTCCGCCTTCAACCAAACCCCCCGAGATTCATAAAAATCGATTAACTTATTAAGCTCAGCTATGTAAAAATAATAATTGTATAATTGCCCTGATTAGACGATGTGAAATTTCCCATGTCAGTTCGATCGCGAGAGTGAATAAAATATTTATCTGTCGCAGAATATGTTGTCTAGGTTTTCTTGTTTGAGAATGCAAGCATTGCAATCGTTCGATTTCTCGATTTTCTCGTTTTGCCTGAAATGATGTAGAATTGTCTGTGTATTTTGTAAAAAAGGAATGATCAACTTTTAGGAAAGACCACAATAAACGGGAAAGTCAATTGCGAATCTAAAATTTTATTTGTTCGTAGGTCCCAAAATGAAATCGATCTATTCTACATTTCAGCCCGATCGCTCCAGTAGTTTCTAAGATTCCAGTGATCCTTTTTGAAACGTTTTTTTTTACAAATGTTTCAAGAGCTATCCTACCGATTTCGTTTTATTAGAATGCCCATCTGCAGGTGCTCTACATAGATCCGAACTTGATCAGAATAATTGCTCGGGCAGCACAACTTCAGGTCAGGTCGACTTGATCAGAATCTGATTTGAAACATTGCAGGTAGACGGTTTTCAGTCTAACTTCAGGCCCACCTAATCCGAATTTGATCAGGATGATTACAGAGAAACGAACCTCAGGCTCGTCCGACATGATTTCCACTAGAGAAGTTCCGTCAACTGTTTGTTTTATTATTTTATTTTTGGTAATCTCAGTCTACAGATAGATAATTATTACAAGTAAAGCAGATCTACGCCATTGCCAATCATAATAATTTATAATAAAAATGGAATGGTATCTATAGTGCCAAAGTCCGTAGCATTGAGAAATAAGCCATAGCAGTTTTAATGATCTAAAGAAACATAAATATAAAATGTTATTAATCGTATTATTTCAATGCACAATCGATCTCTCCTACTTACTGTTGTAAATCCCCCCAATGAAAATCGGTAGAATCCGCCCGCTGTCAACTGCAATGGGTTTTTCGTGCCGATCAAGCACAGTATCAATGATTTTCGAACACTTAATGATAGATTAAGCCAGTCACAGTGGTAATATGCGTCATGGACATGTTCACTCTGAGAATAAAAAATGTACA